GGGTGATGGGATGTGTCGAAAGTGAACAAGTACCCTATCGACTAAAATATATCCTCAGATTAATAGAATAAAACACACTTGATTGTTTAAGTGCATTTCTTGTACATCGAATGTAATCTTTTGTTATATAAATCATCAAACTTTTTCCGGCCGTTTTTTTCAAGGATTCAAGTCGAATTATTTGTTTCTTTTCATTTTCTCACCCTGGATGGTTTAACACATCTTTGTACTATTTTCCATAGAAAAGCCGACATAAATATGCTAGCGAGAACAATATTTTTAATAGTATCGCAAAGTTCATCGATAGCAACATACATACGTACATCTTTTTGCACAAACTTATTGTATAGAACTTACCATGAAACAACGTAAGAAGTTACTAATTTACAATCTATTATGCAAAAACTTGTTTTTCAATCTGGAACTGATATTAAATTTGTTCCTGTTCATAAATCTTTTTATTTTTTTTTCAGTACTCTAATCGAAGTGGAAGCAGTTAGCCATAATAAATAGATAGCTGTTTTCTTTACTTTTAGTGTACTTTGGATAGAATGTTGTATTAATCAGTATTAACCCTTTACTCCCTGAAATGGTTCCAGAAGAGCCACTGATTAAACTGCCACAGAAATAGAGTATTGGTCTTCCAAATATGCCATTGATATAGGCAGATCGATCAGGTGCATTATCATTTGGGTACAATAATTTGGTAACTATAGTAACCATTGAGACAGAGGAGGGAATGGAACAACTTCAAAAGTCCAACTTCTTTTCTTCTTTATGATAGTGTTAACTAGACAAAGGTACCATCTATTCCTTTTTATTAGACTACAATGAAAAAAGAAACACTACGTATATAAAAACTTATTTTTAAACACGACATGTACTTTTGGCACAGCTTTTTGAAAAATATATGTTTTTCTTTAAGTAATTATATCATCAATAAAGAGATTAAATCGATGATAAATATTTTTTTTCGACTACTACTATAATAAAATTAAGAAATAATGTATTCATCGTATGCATCGTTCCGCCCTTCCTGCTCAATAGTTGTTGCAGCACCCATTTTGTGTCTGACCATTCGGTATGTGTCAAACTATTAGGAAAGTTTTGAAATGTGTTTAGTTCCATAGTACATATTTTAGTCGATATAGACCACACAACGCGTCCTTCAGATCTCTATTGTCTGTGAGTGAAAAAACACTTTGTTTATAAAATTTTGATTTTTGAAAATTTTTGAAAATTATCGCTTTTGTAAGTCATATATCTCGGCGATAGAGCAATGAAACAAAATATTTCTTTCACCAATATATAGCTTGTGGAGTTCTCGACAAATAATGTCCTAGAAGCTTTTGAGTTTCATTCTTCCTTTATTTTCTGTCGGCGTTCTACCGATGGGTCAAAAATGACCCACCAGGGGTAAAGGATTAACAAGCAGCTTCTCTTCAATTAATTTTTTTCTATGCCAATTCATTAAAATGTATGATATATCTGTATTAAAACGCATTAACTTCTGTAATTTCTTTGCATACAGACGTTAAAACATGTTCATTACTCTAATATCTTCGTTAAATGCGTTAAACGGAAAATAACCGTTTTCACGCGTTTATTTCTTGCATTTCTCTAGTAAACGAGTTTTATAGCGTTGTTTTCTTCAATTCTCATCGTCAATGCATCAAAACGGCGTTTTGCCATTTATCTGTCTGCATGGGTATTGTGAATAATATTCATTCGTTAATTTGTTTAGCAGAAACAGTAATGACTACGATCCACTTCAAGGCTATTCAACCTTCAACTATAAATCAATGTTAGATAAGAAATATCTACTAGAAAACTTTAAGAATAAGTCCATGAATAATTGTTGCTCTATGTTAGGTGGAGTCACTTCAACTGTTAATGGAACAAGAAATCAAGAAAAAGAAATATACAACAATCTTCAAATGTCAAAAGAATCAAGCTACCTGGCAACGATTAGTCAAAGTTCGATTTTATATGAGTTCATAATTCAATATTTATGTATTAGATATTGCATGGAAAAGAAAAAGGATAATTGTTTCAAAATGAAAAAATTTAGCAATAAATCTATACAAGAAAAAGCAGATTGTCATGCCTATGAACTAGAAAATGTTCTCAGCAAATTATTCAATTGTTGCATATACACGAATACACGAATGTTCAATATGATTCTTATAATGTTAATGAAAAAGATTATGCAGTACTTTATCATGATATTGAAAACAACAAATTACAGTATGCGTTTATAGACAAATTTAATCAATACAAGAATACAGATAATTCTATATTGTTTCAAGTCTATGATATAATCAATGAATGCTATGATTTTCTTTACATTGGCACGATGAAATTTGAATGCGGGAACGTTTTAACCAGTGAATTAAGTAAATGTGAAAAACACATTCATTCTTCAGCTGTATTTGAAAAGATTTTTTCATTTGTAAATGCTAACGAAGCTACTGTTGTTCGAGTACCAAATCTCACTGAAAATAGCTAATTTGATTGTTTTTTGTACATGTTGATTTTATATTTCTTTTGAATAAATATTTTGATACTCACGAAGAAAAAAGTTGATTTAAAGCTCTGTAATTATTATTTCATGAAATAAAAATGAGATTGAGATGAGCACATGAGTGTGATTAGAAGTGCTTAAAAAAAAAGAAAATCTTTTATTGCAAACTTTTTGAAAGATGATCACCTTGAGTAAGCAGACGCAAATTTTTGTGCGCTACAACCGAAAAATAAATCCTCTCGTACTAAAACACAAATATTTTTCCATTGGCATAGTGCTTTTGTTACATATAATTCGATATACTATATCAAGAATTGAGTTTGCATTCAATTATGAACGCGTTTGCACTATACAAAAAAAAACTACGTTCTGAAAGTTGGCGAACACGTTGTTTGTTAGACATTTCCCTAGAGAAAATCCTTGATGTTTCCATGCCAGAACCTTAAAGGATGCAGTCAGGATCCTTCAAGGATTCGCTATTTTTGCCTGAGGAAACGACCAAATCCTGAAGAAAGCGTGTAGATACGGAATTTCAGGATCCTGACAGGATTCAAAACAGGATTTAATCAGGATGCTGAACAGATTACCACTGTTTTTAAATCAGAAATGATTCAGGAAGTCATTCAATCTTGAAAGAAGTGTATAGCTACTGAGTTTCAACGCTCTGACAGGGTTTGAAACAGAATTCAATCAGAATCTGTAGTAGTTGACAACTATTTTTTGAACCAAGAATCTTTCTGAACACAATATTTGATGCTGAGTGTGAATGCGGGTTCATCTAATGTTGCCTAATAGTCTCAGTCAGTGGTTCATCATCCTGTTGGATTCTTGTTGTGATCATCCTCAGATTCAGCTGCATTTGATCGAATCCTTGTACCAGAATCCTGGTTAGATCCCGTCGGAACCTTGATAAATCTTGAGAGAATCATCTCTGTGGTTCCTGTAAGGATTCTAAACAGCATCATGATTGAATCCTGAGAGGATCCTGCACTCATGATTTAGAAAAAAATCCCTGCAGCAACCTGAAGCAATTCTGGACAAGATCCTGTGTCATCGTGAGAAATCCTGAAAACAGAAACTATCAGAAATTGAGACAGGATCCTGAAGAAAACTTGACAAAATCCTTGAGGTTCAGAATCCTAACAGATCCTTCCAGGATTTCTGACGGAATGAACAAATTCAATCGCGTACCCTTAAAAAGCGTTCTGGTCGATAAGAGCGCGTTCGCCAGTAACGCGTTCATTACGATAAAATGCGCTCAATGTTTCAGAAACGCGTTTTTACACGTTCATTGTTATGAATATTTTTCGATGGGGAGAAGCTGAGACTTACAAGAATTATTAGCAGTCGCAAGATCTACAAGTATTAAAAGTTTCAGGTGGATTGGACGTATTTTTTCTAATCAGGCTAAATTGGTCGGAAGATGTCCGTCATCCATTATTTTTTTGACAGCAGAGGACCACGAAATCTTCTGTTTGGTAACAGAACGGAACCAAGAAATAACATTTTTTGAACACGAAATCGTTGATTATCTGTTCAGGAAAAACACGGAAATCACAAGGAATCACTGGGAATCAATTAAAACCAAGTAGAATTAGAGAATTAAGAAATTAGCCGTTTCCCATTGTGCTATGATCATGATTGTGATCATGGCCATCAATATCATTGATTGATCGTCGAAAATGATCGAAATAAAACATGTTTTGAAAATTTTTACATGTGTTGATGTCTGCAGAATTCTTCAACTAGTAAAAATTCACTATGTAGTGTTGGAATATCTGCTTGACGCACAGCCGTGTTACTGAAGATGTTTACGGGTGACACAAATTGCGGCATTAGCACGGAATGGATGAGGTGCTGTAGGCTAGCTCTTCTTCAGTACAAAAGCGACTTTTTCGACTCTTGATTTGGCTCGGTCATAATAATTCAATGAAATGTTTTCTTCATATTTAAATCTCTTCTCATCTCTCAAGTATTTGTAGCTTAACTCTCTCCTTTATGTACCGACTTTGACAGCAACGTCTAGTTCATTATTTGTTTATTCAAAACTTTGAAGCAAAAAATAACGCACATATGCTACTCACCAATGATGATGATGTAGAACAACTGAACTCTTCTTGAGTTGATACAAGCATGAGAGATAAAAAAAAAAGAAAATAAGAAAGAACAGAAAAAGAGAAATGAGACTTGAAGAATACAAAATGATAAGCAACTAACATATATGCATATACGAAAAGAAACGATTAGCACGGCGAAGAAGACAAAACAATGATCGATATAATCGATTTACATGTTAAATGAAGAGAGGAAGGAGTGAGAGAGAAAGACATAGAAAAGAAAACTATCGTGAGGACGTATGTGATGGTGATTCTCATCACACTAACATTTCAAAATTGTCTTTTAGTAGTTATTCAATTTCTTCATACATGTCACCGCGTGGAAATGTTTTTGATTAATAGGAGTAATAATCTTAGTATTAGCCAGAGCATGGAGGTTGTAGAACATTTTGAGCGAATTGATTCAGATAATTGCCAGCAGGATAATAATTGGCAACAACATAACATGCTGTGCTATCCGGTGTACAACAAATGGCAATGCCAAAAACAGTTGTAGCTTGCCAAACCAGTTGAGTAAAGTGTCCAGCAGAATATGAGAAACCAGGAGATGAAAAGTTATAATAGACATATTCGTTATACCAAAAAGTGACTGGATCTGCGCCTAAAACAATAAATATATAGTTATGAACTCTCTTCATGCTATATTTACCATTTATTGTATTAATATTTATGGGAACTGATGACCATGTATAATACAGATTTTCACCTAACGGTTTTCCTTGATAGGTGTTACCACTGTGTGAGAAGTTTTGTGTACTGCACATATACTGAGCATAATTTCGGGCGATTGCTGTCACATTTGGATCGATAGTCAAAGGAGCAGCACAATAATTTGCTCGATCTATATTCGTCTGTGTCATTGCTTGTTGTTCGAATAGACTGTATGCAGATGAAGCTGTAGTCGAAGGGTTGGCTATGTTCACCTATTTCTTGTCATCATATTCGTTCAGGTGATCAATATTCTACTTTCAAATTTCGTGATACATGAATAAACCATTTATTTGTTGTTGCTGGTGCTGCTGTTGTTGTTGTTGTTGTTGTTGTGGTTTTTGTTGTTGTTGTGGTTTTTGTTGTTGTTGTGGTTTTTGTTGTTGTTGTGGTTTTTGTTGTTGTTATGGCTTTTGTTGTTGTTATGGCTTTTGCTGTTGTTTTGGCTCGTCGTATTCGAAAAAGTTTTAGCGATGATTGGTCATTGGCTGTTTCCATTGGTGCTATTTTTCTTGCCGATGCTGCTTGTAACGATGGAACTAAAAAAACATCGAATAATGACAAATGTATTTTTCCAGAAATTGGTACTTCTACAGTACATTAGCGCAGATTAACTTTGAAGACGCATAGCTACTTATGGTAAATATTGGATAAACACGAAGCGGATCCCAAATGGCTAGTAATGTTTCCTGCTTCCATAAATGAAAGTAAATGTATGTTTTCATGCTGAATATCATTCTTCTTTTCAGCAACAACCGCATTTTTTGGATCAGTTTCCAACAAAAAACAAACTAGCTGTCTGAGATTTGCAGCATCAGACGAAAGAAATTCAACTGAATTTATACATGTACAATCAAGAGGACTACCGTGAAGTCAAGAAAGAAATCAACAGTAATTTTTGCAAAAAATCATGTTGCCTTCTCAGAAACACACCAATAGAGACAATGAGTTCATAGTCATTCAGAGCTATTTCAGCAGCAGCGAACGACTTGGAATGATAAAAGTCTCTAATAAACTGATGCGTCCTCTTTTTTTAAGAGGCAACTAGAAATTGAAGAAAAATATCGAAATGAATTTTCTGGCATTATATGATGAGTATTACTTTCTTCTCAATTTTCAAAATAATATTGTATTTTTGTTTCTGACAATTTACCCTCAAATAATAAGCACTCTGAAAAGACTTGCTTTGTTTCGTTTTTCTTCTCTTCTGGATTAAGCAATATTATTGTTATTCATTGCTAGATATGTTAGCTGATGGATTTTTCGGTAGCACAAGATATCGATGTTCTCGGGAATGTGATCTAGTTTTTGTTTTATAGCGACACATCGAAACATTGCACTATTTTTTTTTAGATGCTTTCCACAACATCTTTCTCATCTTACTAAGCTGTTATTAGAAGACTGGTGCAGAATTTTGATACAAAACATCTGAGAAAACTCTTTTTCATATCATTTTCGAAAGATTTTGAATGGCTAAAAATAAGTGCTCATTTAATTCCTTCCTAATGCATGTATCGGAATTTTCTAAACAAAATATTTATTCATTTTCAGCACACTTGAAGAATAAGCACATGTTTTGAAACGTATGGATTAGGACAAGAATTTCTTTGTTCTTTTTTCGAATATGAATTCAGAAATTTGGTGTAATGCTATGTTTTACAGTAGTGAGCGAATCTCTCAGAAGCTGAACAAATATCTTGAACGAAATAAGTTGATCATAGTTTCTGGATAACATTTTGCTAATTTATGGTCTACCTAAAAGTACTTCACAATAATGAAAACAAGTTCTTTAGGACCAAAACTGAATACTCTTGTTAAGTATAGACGTATATAATTCAAAAATAAGCGAAACATATATTGTTTTTATCTACATTACGGGAAAGTGAATTTCTGTTTTTTTGTTCAACTTGAAGTCTGGTACGGTAGATCTCTTTCTGAATTATTATTCAGGTAATACAAATCAAAGAATTCTGAATTTATTCTAGTATTGTGTTTCTACGATCGATGCGATATGTCTAATGTGTAGGTCACTGGAAAGAGAATAAGCTTTTTTGTAAATGATATTTGAAGCTAAAACTTTCACAGTATGTTTCTTAGCATGCTAATAACTGAAGAGCACAAAATAAAATTTACTGATGTCATTCTGGTAGTGTCATCAGAGCAAACGTGAAATGGCATTCACCGTAGCTTAGAAAAATAATCTACAGAAAAATGTATCTGCTGATTGTTCTGGCACACTTTCGGAAATCTACATCACCTTAAAGCTCTATCTTAATATGGTTAAATAATCATTTTTTTCTTTTTTTTGAAAGTTCTCATAATCTGATATGTACATGAAAAGAACATTTTAATAGTATTCTACTTGTTTGTCCTTAGATATCGTTTTCTTATCAATCCCAATTGGTTTCTCGAATACATTGAAATTCTAATATTTGATTTATGATCAATCAAGAACTAGATAAGACATGGACAAGTCATACCGACTAATTTCATGTTGAAGCTCAAATATGAGAAAAAAAATGATTTTTTTTTGAAAACACGAATTTGATTCCATAACTTGCTGCTTAGTTAATTCAAAGATTTGAGTCTAATAAGCAGTGCTGTCAATAGTCTACCGAATCACGACGTTGTTATAAAATAACTTGCGAAATAGAGCTCTATTGCGAAAATTATTTTATAACAATATCGTGATTCGGTAGGCAATTGAGAGCACTGTTTATTGGACTCAAATCTTTGAATTAACTAAGCAGCATGTTATGGAATCAAATTCGTGTTTTGAAAAAAAATCATTTTTTTCTCATATTTG